TTTTTTTTTTTTTTTTAATGTCTTTTGTTGTTTGTTTTTAGGAACAGTCTCACTATGTACTCTTGCCTGGCCTGCCTGGCCTTGAACTCACTATGTAGACCAGGCTGACCTTGAACTAATAGAGATTGGAGTGCCTCTGCCTCCCAAGTGCTGGCATTAAAGGCTTGTATCACTATGCCTGGCTCTGTTATTTCTTTTTCTTTTTTTACATTTAATTCTTTTTTTTAAAGACTTATTTATTTATTATGTATAGAGTGTTCTGCCTATATGTGCCCCTGCAGGCCAGAAGAGGACACCAGATTTCATTATGGGTGGTTGTGAGCCACCGTGTGGTTGCTGGGAATTGAACTCAGGACCTCTGGAAGAGCAGTCAGTGCTCTTAACCACTGAGCCATCTCTCCAGCCCCCATTATTTCTTACTATTTCTCAGGTCCCTCTGAGAAGGTACATTCCACTTCTGACCCATAGCCAAGCAACTCGCTCTTGGCAGACTTACAAGTCACTCATGTGGAACTCCAGACAGTCACTGCTGAGACCTGGAATTAGATGCATCTTATTTCATACTTTACATAAAAGCACATTTCTGGGCTGGAGAGATGACTGAAGAGATGGTACTTGATGCTCTTCCACAGGACCTAGGTTTGATTTCCAGCACCCACATGGCAGCTCAAGATGGTCTGTAACTCCAGTTCCTGGTGTGCTGAGGCCCTTTTCTGGGCTCCATGAGCTCTGCACACACGGTGCACAGACTCATACACATAAAATAATAATACATTTTTTTAACTGGGCAAGGGGTGACATACGCCTTTAATCCCAGCAGCAGCAGCAGCAGCAGCAGCAGCAGCAGCAGCAGCAGCAGCAGCAGCACCACCACCACCACCACCACCACCACCACCAACACCTGGCACTAAACCTTGCTTTTTTTCACTTCCATTTTCCTGTTTAATCAAGAACTCTGTGGCGCGTGCCTTTAATCTCAGAGGCAGAGGCAGGCAGATCTCTGAGTTAGAGACCAGCCCAGTCTACAGAGTGAGTTCTAGGACAGCCAGAGCTACATAGAGAAACCCCATTAAAAAAAAAAAAAACCTTTCAGTTTTTTTGTTTTATTGAGACAAAGTCTCACTAGGTAACCAAGGCTAGCCTTAAACTCACGATTCTCCTGCCACAGCCTCCCAAGTGCCAGGATTGTAGGCATGTGCTATCTCACGTGGTGGTATAGTTTTTGTTTGTCAGTGCTGAGGTCTGAAGGCAAGCATGCATGACAAGAATCTTCTGAGAAGCTGCATTCCCAGCCCCTCCAGCATTACTGGAGGAACAATGTCAAGATGTTCACTATGCTGGCTAGTTTTATGTCAACTTGGCACAAGATAGAGAAAATGGAAGTTCAATTAAGAAAATGCCTTCATAAGATTGAGCCATAGTAGACAGGCCTATACGACATTTTCTTAATTAGTGATTGAAGGGGAAGGGTCCTGCCCATCGTGGATGGTGTCAACCCTGGGCCAGTGGTCCTGGTTCTATAAGAAATCAGGCTGAGCAAGCCATGGGGAGTAAGCCAGTAAGCAGCACCCCTCCATGGCCTCTGCATCAGCTCCTGCCTCCAGGTTCCTGCCCTGCTTGAGTTCCTGTCCTGACTTCCTTCAATGATGAACTGTGATGTGGAAGTGTAAACCAAATAAACTCTTTCCTCCCCAACTTGCTTTTTGGTCATGGTGTTTCATCACAGCAACAGTAATACTAAGACACTCATGTTGTCAAACATACATGTCGTCATTAATTAGAGAGTAATTAGTGAGGGATACAATCAAGACACTCCTGTGGGAACACTGAATCCAGCGTTCTCGGGTGGCTCCTAACAGGACTGGGAAATTGGAACAGTTCCCCTGGTTGCCACTAGATGTCACCCTAGACTAGACAGGCAGCAGTGGTCTTGGCAGTGTTAACGCTAACTAACTGTAAAGGAATGCTGCTGTTTGGCTCCAAAAATGGATTTGACCTCGCTGCTGGGACTTGCCGCTCGTCAAGTGCCAGGAAACAGTGTTTGCCAGGCCCCAGCCACGGAGGACGGAGGAAATATCCAGTTGCATCCCATGCAATGGAAACCCTGCTTCCCTGGAACCAAAACAGAAACAGGCACGAACAGCCCGCCCCTCGCACTCTCCTCACCTCGGAATCTTCGTTCACCACAAGTTTCAATACTTTGTGGTTCCAGGAGAACAGAGCTAATATTTTCCCACTTATTTAATAAGCTCCACGGCTGCATTTCCCCCCTGACTTCTTGAGTGAATGCAACACAGTTTTGGTCCCTCTGGCTTTAGGTCCCAGAGCAGGACCTACGGTCTCTTTACTTCTCAGTTGTCACAGGTTCTAGAAGACACAGTGGCGATACCTAGATCTAATGTTCTTTCTCCTCCTCTTCTTCCTTCTCCTCTTCTTCTTTTGAGAAAAGTCTCTCTCTATATACATCTACAAACTGGCCTCAGATCTGTAGTTCCCCTGGCTGAAGGTGTTGCTGTTTGGCAGGGTCTCATGTAGTCCAGCGTGACCTAGAACTCATGTGGTCCAAGTTGACTCTGAATTCCTCATCCTTCTCCTTCTACCTTCCAAGCTTTGGGATCACAGGCCTGTACCACCCCGACTGGCTAGTGCTCTCTTATCTGGCAAGGATCTTTAATGTCTAAAGGTTTATGCCAAGATGAAATAATACATATTGTGTGTTTCATTTACAGTTTGACCTTGGCCCAATATAAGTTCTTCAAAAAAAAAAAAAAAAAGTTAGCAAAGTCGGGCAGTGGTAGCACATGCCTTTAACCCAAGTACTCGGGAGGCCAAGGCAAGCAGATTTCTGTGAGTTCAAAACCAGCCTGATCTACAGAGCTAGTTCCAAGACAGCTAGGGCTGTTACACAGAGAAACCCTGTCTCGGGGGGGAAAAAATGTTAGTGTCTACTTACTGTAGCTCAGTTGGTAGAGTAGTTGTCTTGCAAGAATGAAATCCTCATTTAGCTCCCCATCACCACATAAAACTAGCCATGGTGGCACATGCCTGTAATCCCAGCACTCAAGAGGTTGAGGCAAGAGGATCAGAAGTTCAAGGCCATCCTTGGCTATATAACCAGTGCAAGGCCAGCCTGGAATAAACAGACTCTTGTCTCCAAAAAGGGAGGGGCCTCAGTTAAAAAAAAATAGCATCATTATTATTACAACTAGGTCATGACATGGAGAAAATTATCAGTCAGGATCCAGAGGTAAATAAGCACCCTGAACCAGGCTTGCCCTGCCTGAGCAGCTTGACCACAGAGGGGAAGGTGACGTGAAGAAGGAAAACCAATCACTTTGGTGGTAACAGACTCGGTTTATTGGCTGTGCTTCATATAAACTAGAGCTAAAGTCTTGAACTGACCACTAGACTGTCAAGACCATTATGTTTGCTGTAACACTTTGCATGGCTACCCGTAAGCAGAAAACGGACTGGCCGCAGACTCTGTGTGGAGCAGGGGTTGGTTTTGAAGATATTTTACATTTGTTTTTATTTTATGTGTATGAACGTTTTGCCCGCACATGTTTTCCTGAGGTCTTCAGAGTGTAGAAGACAATGGATCCCCTGGAACTATAGTTACAGTTGTGAGCTGCCATGTGAGTTCTGGGACCCAAACCCAGGTCCTCTGCAAGAGTCACAAGTGGTTTTAACTGTTTAACTGATGAGCCAGTTCACCAGCTCTGTGTTTTTGTTCTTTTTTTCTTGAAAAGTCTCACAGTGTAGCCCTGACTGGCCTGGAAGTTGTTATATAGATTGGGCTGGCCATGAACTCACAGAGATCTGCTGCATCTGACTCTAAGCATGCTGGGATTAAAGACATGTATCATCCCGCCATGTCCAGCCTGTTTTTTTGTAAGTCCGTTTCATCTGACTCACAAATAGAATAGAGCCAAGTATTTGTACAGTGCCTGAGTGCCTGAGTGGTAGAGGCAGGGTGATTAGAAGTTCAAGGTCGCTCTCAACAATATACTAAATTGGAAGGCCTGGCTGGGCTACATGAGACCCCGTATCAAAAGGACAAACAAAAGTCGGCTTGCCTCCCCACCAGTTCCAAGGCTTTTTGCTTTTCTAATCCTTCCGTTTTCATCCAGCTGCTTATACCAGGTGTGTGCGCAAAGCCTTTGGAAATCAGGAATGCCGTCTCTGTTCTGCCTTGAGTTGCAAGGCTGAAAGTTTGCTCCAAAGTCTTGCTGGCAGCTCTTCTGGGGCTACGAATCAACCAGCTCTCAAATGTTTGGCTCTGCCTAAGAAACCAAATCTCCATCCTCTCCCAAATTAACATGAACATTAGATTCTTAGGATAATTAAATCTCTGTAAGCATCATGAGCTAAAATCAATATAAATACCAGAACTGCCTGGCAACCAGAAGGGACAGTATTACTCACCCTTATATTTCTGTATGTCAGATGGGGGAAATCTTTCACTTTATATAGCTTATGTACACACAGGCAAAGATGCACGGGGCAAGCAGCTTCCATACATGGAAGATGAAAGGGATGTGAAAGACACAGTCCATGTCTGCAGCCAACTAGGCAGCCAGGTTCCTTTCCTCATGGGGGCCTGGCATGCAATGGCAGCAAACAGCAGCCTTCGTAGTGTGGGCAGTCTGTTGCCTACCTGAGTTGCCCTAGGGGACTTTGGAGGCAGTTTTCTGGTAGATATTCATATCTCTGATCACAATGCCATCCCTAAATTAGATTCTAGACAGGTGGTCAGTGTGTCTTTGGGAAGCTCCAGGGCACAGTGACTGGGCCAGGTCATCATGTCCATCTCTACCAACCCGTGGAATAAGGAACACATGTCTGAGACCTTTTGTAGAGCCAAGTTCAAGTTCCCTGGCCCTTAGAAGATCCGTATCTCCAAGAAGTGGGGCTTCACCAAGTTTGATGTAGATGAAATGAGGACTTGGGAGCTGAGATGCAATTCATCCCTAAAAACTATGGGGTGAAATATGTCCCCAGTCACGATCCCCTGGACAAGTGGTGGCCCTGCTCTTCAGAGGGCTTCCATTCTGTTTTGTCCTACATGCCACCAATAAATTTCACATCTAGTCTGCCTAAAGAAACAAAACAAAACAAAAAACAATACATGATTCTATAAGGAGGCAGGCATGGGCCATACATGGCCTGAAATCCCATCACTCCGAGTGCTGCAGCAGGAGGATTGCTGTAAGTTTGAGGTTGGCCCGAGACATATAATGAGATTTATTAGATTTATTAATTTTACTTAATGTGTGAGTGTTTTGTCTGCATGTATGTTTGTGTGTCATATGCTCGCTTAGTGTCTGCAGAGGTCAGAAGAGGGCATTGGATCCCCTGGACCTGAAATTACAGATGGTTGTGAACCATTATGTGGGTGCTAGAAATCGAACCCAGGTCCTCTACAAGGGCAATAAATGCTCTTAACCACTGAGCCAGCTCTCCAGCCCCAATGAGAGTCGTGTGTGTGTGTGTGTGTGTGTGTGTGTGTGTGTGTGTGTGTGTGTGTATGT